CTCCGGTGCGGGGAGTATTGAGCGGAACGTCATCTGGTGCAGCGCCGGTTGAAGTGACACTCGCCACTCCTACTCCCACCGACAAGCGGGCCCGCCTCAGGAGCCCTTTGCACGAGATGGACGATGATCTGCTCGAGGGCGGCGAGGAGGACCTGATCGGGAACCCCTTCCGGCAGCCGGACTTTTCGAGCACACAGGGCCTCACAGTGGACCAGTTCAAAGATATACTTCGGGAGCAGTTACACCCATCCAGAACGACATCCGAGCCATCAAGCTACACGGGGTATCCCAAGCAGACTTGAAGAACACAGTGGAACCTATCAAACACGAAGCTGCTGCGCTAAATGCTCGTCTGGAAGCACTTGAACAAAACTCGGGGCTATCATCGGCACGATCAGGCCAGAGTAGCAATGCAGACATCGAGACGAAATTGTTGGAGCTGGAACACAAACTTTCCGAAATTGCGCACAAAGACCGGGAGGCGAATGCAGTCATCGGTGGATTGGGCAATTTCGAAGAGGTGGATGCAGCAATCACTTTCCCGAAGGAACACTTCAACCGACTGAAGACACCAGAGCACATCGACATCTTCACGAAGGGCGACTTTCACAACATCGTTTTCGTCATGTTTAGGAATGTTTTGTCCAGGGGTCAATTTGTCAATGTTTTCGGCAGGGCTCAAATCAAACATCAAAGAAATGCGGTGTGGGTTCGCCCCGACATGCCTGTTGAGAAACGGGTGCCAGAATCGTTATTGTTCGGTCTCCGGAAGGTCTTCCTCGAGTGGAATTATTCCAGAGAAGAGATTCGTGTGGACACGAAGAACCAAATCTTCAAAGTAGCTGGAGAGCCAGTGGTGCAGGCTACAGTGTCCAATAACCAACTTCAGCTCTGCTGGCATGGCACGTGAGGCAATTGGGACGATGTTATCAACAGCCAGCACCTCGCCTCCAGGGCCAACGAGACGCTTAGCCGGGCCGGAAGGGGCATCATTAGGAAATATGGCGCATTGGCAGGGCATGTACATGTGAACCAAGAATTGGTACATGAGTTGTATTTCCATGTATGCCGGTGTTGTGTGGCAAGATCGCCTCGTGAAATGTCAAAGGCATCAACTTGGACCTGCCGTACAAACTGCACGAACTCATTAAGCACATGCGGGACCTCGACATCGCCATGCTCTGTCTCCAAAAGACGCACTGCCGCGGGTCACCAGTTTTTGAATTCGAGGGGTTCTCGTGTATCATTTCGGGGCAAGAGAATACAACCAGAGAGTACGCAGGAGTTGGATTCATTGTAGCGCCTTGGGTTAAACATGCGATCAAAGGATACATCCAAGTTTACGGGTACGAGTCTCAAGTGGTATTTTAACTCTGGTCACGACTATGATGTTCGTCATGATTACTATACATGATCGTGCTGCATTTGCTTCTGCATGCCGGTCTCACGGGCCAACGCTGATTCTGGGTGATTTTAACGCACGCTTATTGGACAGGTACGCTGGAGAAGAAGCCGTCCTCGGAGAACATGTTTTTCATAATTCGGTTTCGGCCTGGACGCCTACATCGAATAGGGAGCTCCTCGTAGAATTATGCCACACATTCGAGGCGTGCGTTGCGAACACGTTTTTCAATACAGGCGATGAACACACCGTCACGTATCACGACATCGGAATCAAACCTTACGGGAGCATTGTGTCAGAAGATTTTGAACAGTTGGACCACGTGGTTGTGCCCTAAGAGTGGTTGTCTGCAATCACTGCGGTATGGAGCGATCGTCGACGGCATCTGCAATCGCATCACTTTGTTCACGTTGTTGATTTAGAGATTGTTATTCCCAAGACAAGCAGGGCGCACCGTGAGCCAAAGCTGGACGTCAGCATGTTGAGGGATCCGGACGCCAGCAAGAAGTACGCGCAGTTATTTGTGGATGCGTGGAAGAAGCAACCACGTAAGGAGTCCTTGAACGAGACAGCTTCGGCAGTATCGCTCAATATGCTACGGTCTGCGGCCGAGTTTCTGCCACGCCGGGAGGCAAGGATACAGCGCCCATGGATATCTGAACGTACTCTCGACCTCATCGAAGAGCGCAACAATGTACGACAAGATGGTGCCGATACCAAGCTCGTCAACAAAGCGATCAAGCAGTCCGCGAAGGCGGACAAACGCCACTGGCTTACAGAGACCGTCCAGACGGAAGGATGGAGAGCAATCAAACAATTACGCAAACATGCTCCTTACAAATGTGGGCGCCTGCGGGATACAGAAGGTCATTTGGTTGATTCTGCAGACCGGGCAGAGACTATGGCATCATACTTGGCGACGGTACAATGGCGGCCATATCCAGATCACCCAGCACCACAGCCGGCAAACAGACGAGCAGAATTGCCTGTCGACGTGGGCCGAATCCGACAGGAAGAAACAAGGCAAGCAGTCAATCATCTTCGAGTACAGCGAGCTGCAGGGACCGACGGCGTGCCGCCAAAACTATGGAAGGCACTATTGGACAACAACGACGCGCTCGAGATCTTGACTTATTTGTGTAACGAGTGCTGGGAAAGGAAGGACATTCCGGAAGAGTGGCGGGAAGCATCTGTAGTAACAATCTTCAAGAAGGGTGACACGTCTCTGCCTTCAAACTACAGGCCTATATCTGAATTAGCTGCGGGATACGAGATATTAGCCAACATATTATTACAACGACTCAAATCCGGAGGAGTTGAAAAGACATTGCGTGAATCTCGAAATGGTTTTCGGCCACGTCGTGGGGCCAGCGAAGCACTGTTCTTGCTGGGGTCGCAATTTTAGTCCAAGCTAGACGCCTACGGAGAATATTCACAATTATTCCTGCTTGGCTGATGTGCGTGAGCGTGCCCGCGCGCCGCCTTTGTCATCGATTTTACTGAGACGACAATTGGCCTACTTGCCCGGGACAGCGCCGAAAGCTTACCTGGAAGGATGGTGTTCGAAGATATTCAACCGACGTCTTGTTTACGCTGAGGCCGTAGCAGTGGCGGGCAACGACCCCGACACTCTTCAGAGTCTGCTACAGAATACTTCGGATTGACATGCGGCTGTCAGGCAGCACTGCGCTTTCTAGCTAATTGCCTGTGTCCCCTCTTCCCCCCCTCGTCCCCTCCCTCCCCTCCTCTCCGTTCCTCCCCCGCCAGTGACGCCTGCAGGCAACCGAAGAGTGGGCCACCAGCACAACGTATGCTGTTGACTGCACACCTCTTCCCCTGCATGGCGCATGCGTTTTGACATGTTCTGTGCATGTGCGAGTTCGTAGCAATTTCGTGCCAATGCGCCGTCTAGGTGCGGCTCCGTGTGTGGGTGGAAGGGGGGGTCGGTCATCAACTTCCCATGATGGGCCCTGCCCATCAACACTCCGCGAGCGCGGGCCCCACTCAACACGGATGCGTCTCTCTCCTGCCAGTTGCTGCACGCAGCTCGTCCAGACGCCGTCCGCTCGGCGGCGCCGATGTTCTCGCGCGAGCTCCTCATCGCCAATTTCACCTCAAGAGGGAAATTGTTCGTCCTGCGTAAGTGCGTTTCGGCCCTGCGTCTCCTAACTCAACGGGCTGCCTGCCCCTCGTCCTCATTTCCGCCCTCTCACGCATAGAAGAGCGCGGGCATGAAGGGCCCCTGCTACGAAGTGGGCGTCTCGAACGGGACCTCCCGTCAAAAGCGCGACGTGTTATCTTTTTCCAAACTGTTTGCGAGAACGTCTCGAAGGGGAACTTCCGACTGCACGTGGCGGGGGAATTCTGGCGTGATGCGGCGTGTCGGCTACGCGGTAACCAGCAAGTCCGAAGCCCAAAACGCCCATCCTCAGGACGAAAGTTTTTCCACTTGGGCCCGGAACGACGGTGTGAAGTCTAGAGCAGACGCGCGTGAAAGAACCGCCATGGGATCCAACGAAGTTCGCGCGGATCCAATGTTGGTTTAGGTTTCAGTTTCGGTAGATCCGGTTTCCATCCGCGCGGATCCGATTTCGAATTTTCTGGATCCTCGCCCAACCTTGTTTTTTACGGCAAATCCGATGTCTACCCCGCTTTAAATTCATAACATTACATGAAAACTGGAAAACTGACGAAATCGGACCCGCGGACCCCAGGACCCGCGCGTGTTAAGATTCTACGGGTGAAAGGAGGGTTCGGTCATCAACTTCCCATAATGGGCCTTGCCCATCAACACTCCGCGAGCGCGGGCCCCACTCAACACGGATGCGTCTCTCTCCTGCCGGTTGCTGCACGCAGCTCGTCCAGACGCCGTCCGCTCGGCGGCGCCGATGTTCTCGCGCGAGCTCCTCATCGCCATTTTCACCTCAAGAGGAAAATCTCTCGTCCTGCGTAAGTATTATACCCCTTTTGCAAGAGATTCGGGGGCCGAGGCAATAATGCAAGCTTATTGATTTGTCCGTCCTTGGTCTCACTGTCCTATCTCTCCTTCGCGGGATTTGGGGGCAAGGAAAGTATGCAACCGAAAATTCTTCATGACCCTCATCCTCCTCTTCCTCATCATCATACTCCTCATATTCCGCAAACACGTCCGCAACCGCACCTTGCTTATCCTGCTACTCGGTCTGTTCCCGGTGGTTCATAATCCTGCTGATCCTGCTTCACCTCTTCCTCCTGCTCTTCATCCACCCTCTCTTCCTCGTCCTCCTCCTCCTCCTCATCATCATCCTCCTCTGCCTCCGCCTCCTCCTTCTCCTCCTCCTCCGCCTCCTCCTGCTCTTGCTCCTCCAATTGCTCCTCCTCCTCCTCCTCCTCCTCCTCCTCCTCTCCTCCTCCTCCTCCTGGGACCTCCTGTGAAGGCCCCTGCGCGCCTCCTACTGCTCCTCCTCCTCCTCCTCCTCTCCTCCTCCTCCTCCTCCTCCTGGGACCTCCTATGAAGGCCCCTGCTCATCTTTCTCCTCCTCCTCCTCCTCCTCCTCGTATTCCTCCTCCTCCCCCTCCCCCCCCCTCCTCATCATCATCACCATCATCACCATCCCGCCTCACTCCACGCGGTGTCGTAGACACCGTCCTTCGTGATCCACTCGCACACGGGCACCACATTGCCTCCTGAAGGGGAGGCGAGGGAAGAGGGAGTGAGCAAGACGAGGGCAGGCTCGTGCTATGCCGCCCTCCTCTCACATCCACGGCCATCCAAGCCTCAAGGCCAAGCCAGCACGGCCAAAACTGACCACCGCAGAGTTCAAACAATGCGCCCTACGACCGCCCACAGACTGAAGACCGCTGCCCCTCTATGCGCACAGACGGCCCAAGACAAGCTGCATCCCGAAAGCAAACTGGGAACGTCGTACTGATCAGCTGGCATGTACTGCTACGGATGCGATGAGCATCACATCGCGTGCGCAAAGAATCGCGTGCAGCGCCAGCGTGCGCTCGTAGTAAGCCGTTGCAACCGGGTTGTACCCACGGAGGACGGCGAGGAGGAAAGGGGAGGAGGAAAGGGGGAGAAGTAGGAGGGAGGCAGGTTTAGGAGGAAGCAGGAAGGAAGGAAAGAGGAGGAGGAAAAGGAGGAGCTAGAAATGAGGGTGGCAGTTGTGAATGGTAAGAGATATGGCGGCAATGGTAACCTGAGAGATAGCAGAGCGGCAGTCCTTTGTCCTTCACGGCAGTATCAGGTACGCTGGCCAGCTGTGAGTCATACGGCAGCGGGCCCCTCCTATTCGAGTCGGGTCTACCGGGCAATGGAGAGTGTCCTTCCGCAGCACTTCGGGCACAAGGGCCACCCGCAATGAGATGCCAGAACATTCACCGTTTGTAATGAACGCCGGGCACACCTCGGAAGACTTGCTGGCGTCTCTATGGCTTGTTTCGTTTGTCCTCCTCCTCCTCCTCCGCCTCCTCCTCCTCTTCCTATACACCCGATCGGACAGGAAGTTCCGAACAGCTCCTCCTCCTCCTCATCATCATCATCATCATCATCACTCCGAAGTCCGACGCGGGGCCTGGCCCATGGATGTCGTAGACGTGCAGGCGCCCGTTGCCCACAATGCCGAAGTACTGGGCGGTGCCGACCGCTAGCAGGTTGCCCTGGAAAGGCGAGAACCTCGCGGCCCAGAGGAGGAGGAGAGGGCCGAGGATGAAGAGTATGAGGATGAGGGGGAGGACCAGTGCAAACCAAAGATGCACCAACGATGATGTTGCAATAAACCCTCCCTCCAAATTCTGCGTCCATGGGTCCCTGAAAGAAATTATGTTCGTTGCGGGAAGTGAGTGACCCATTACAAGACAATCGTCTGAAATCCCCAACCGTGCCGGAACACCATTTCCGCGACTTCAACGCCGCGGATCAACGTGACTGGTGCGTCCTGATACTAAACCGCGCCAGAACATCATTGCTAAGACTGCATCGCCACAAATCGGTATGACTGTTGCGTCCTGACAATTTGAAACCGTGCCACAACACCATTCCTGGGACTTCGACCATACGAATCCTTGAAAACGCAGTGCACTGTGAAAACGAATGTGCGCGGCGCTAAGGCGAGAACCACATTTCGAAAAAAGAACCGCCCTCCATACGTGAAACTGACGCAAACGTTTAGAACGAATGGGCGCGGCGCTAGGGCGAGAACAACTTGTTAGAGACCACCCGCCGCCCATCCGTGAAACTGCTGCAAACTTTAAAGACGAATGTGCGCGGCGCTAAGACGAGAGCCACGAGTTGAAGAGGAGCCGCCGTCCACGCGTTAAACTGTTGCAAACTTTTAACACGAATGTGAGAGGCGCTTATAACACAAATGCACACGAAGCTAAGGCAAGAGCCACATCTTGAAAACCACCCGCAGTCCATCCGAAAAACTGTTGCTAAGCTCAAGCTTCAAGATCATAAATCCCGCCCTACCGACACGTCTGGGGGTGCGACAGGCAGGAGTTCAGTGTAAGGAAAAAGGATGGAGCGTGAGGGGAGGACGCGTGACAGAGCAGGGAAGAAAGGGTGCGAGCAGCGCGAAAAAAATTAATTGGAAGAGGGCGGAGTGGTCTTCTCCTTACTCCTTCTCCTCCTCCTCCTACTCCTCCTCCTCCTCAACCTCCTCCTCCTCCTCCTCCTCCTCCTCCTCATCATCATCATCATCATCATCATGATCATCATCAGCATCATCACCATCATCATCATCACTATCATCATTATCGCCATCATCATCATCAGCAGCATCATCATCACCACCATCACCATCACCATCATCATCATCAGCATCATCACGTTCATCATCATCATCATCATCATCATCAGCAGCAGCAGCATCATCATAATCGTCAGCAGCAGCATCACCACCACCACCACCATCATTATCATCATCATCATCATCATCAGCATCATCATCATCATCATCATCATCATCAGCAGCATCATCATCATCATCATCATCATCATCATCATCATCATCATCATCATCATCATCATCATCATCATCATCATCATCATCATCGTCATCATCATCACGATCATCATCGTCATCGTCATCGTCATCAACATCGCCATCATTACCATCATCATCACCACCACCATCATCATAATCATTATCAACATCATCATCGTGATCATCAACAACATCATCATCACCATAAGGCCGCCACGGTTCAGGCTAAGGAGCAGCGACCTCTCTACAGCGCCATCCCCGCCAAGCCCCAGAGGCGGAGGGCCCAAAGACACCCCGCACCCCGCCATGTCGTCGTGGCTGTGCGCCAGCGCGCGGGCGCCGCGCATCGGCCGTGCACTTGAGGAGAAGCGGACACTTACGACAATGGAGACGATGACGTACGATCGTGCCAGCGGCGCCCCGCCTGTGCGGCGCTCTCGCGCTCAACAACATCGTCGCCGTCGAGCACTGCGACTTCTGCGCTGGGGCGCCGCCGTGGGCCAGCCGCCAGGAGTTGACCTCGCGGGCCCGCCGCGTGCTGGCCCTGCTGGCGCGCCCGCCGACATCAGCATCCCGCCCATGCAGTTGCAGTATACCCGAAAGATGGCCAGCCACGCCACCGCGGAGTCCCAGGTGACGAAGCACCATGCTGAGGACGTCGAGGACAGGCGCTCGCGCACCGCAGAGGCCTTTAAGCACGTCCGGTTCAAGAACAAGCGCTTCACGAAGCTTGACAAGTTCTGCATGCATGCCCTACGCGTCATGCACGGAGCTCAGCAGACCGGCTTTCGAGGCGTTCCACACCGCCCTCCGCGAAACCAGGCTTCTCCGACGCGGTGATGCCAAGCACTGTCCCAATCAGCATCGCGCACAGCCTCTGGGCTGGCGTCCGCAACCACGAAAATTTCGTCCAGACTATTACGCTTACGGACAGCGTGGCGCACGTCATCGAGCACGCCTGGACCGCGCCGGCAGATTGTCCATACTGGAACACCTTGGACAACATGCTTGCCATCCAGCGGATTACATTGACTTTCATCGAGGTGCGGCGCCCAGGCCACCGCGAAGAATTCATGGTTCGAGCTAAGCTGAGGCGCCTCTTCTGACTGTGCTTCAGAATGCACTTGCGATTTTTTCCAGTCTTCGCAAGGATCAGGCTGCTGCTACTCGGCTGTGCCTCAGAGTACGTTTCAGTCTGTGCTTCAGTATATCCGCCGATCCGGCGTGTGAACTACAAGGAGCCTCAGCAAGAGCTTCAGCTCTGAGCCTAAGTAAGAGCTTCAACTCTGCTTGGGGGGGGTCGCCGGGGTGACTCTGCCGGGGAAGGGGGGGAGGGGGAGAGGGGGGCGGTCCTCCATCTGGCGTTTTCTTCATGATTTGCGCATACGGACCGCCCCCCGGGGAAGGGGGGGACTGCCCCCTGGCGTTTCCTCAATGATTTACGCATCCCCTAGATGTTTTGGGGGGTCCCAGGCCATCTCCTCGGAGCCCTCCCTGGACGCCCCCCCGGGACCGCGCCAGGCACCCCCCCCAGAGGAGAAGAAAGAGGACCAGAAGAATCGAGGAGGGACGAGGCCACAGAGCCGCGAAGATCACCGAATCCGGAGCCCCCTGGATTGGCGGCACTGGCCGGAGGCCATTACTATAGTTTCAGCGTAAGTTCCACAGTCTGTGCTCCCCGAGGAGGTTGTGCAATTACTGTTCCCTTTTTCAGGGCCGCACCGTGTCTGTGCTCAGTTGATCCGAATCCTCTTTGTCGCCTGGATAGCGCTGCGCGGGACGCCTCCCTGAGCAGCACCCACGGCAGACTTGGCCCTGCGGGGCAGTACGAAAGCATTGCGCTCTCTGCCACGGATCTCATTATTTGTTCGTTCCTTCGAATATTCGAGGCAGCTTGATCTACAATCGAGAAAAAGAACATCATCACCATCACCATCATCATCCTTATCATCAGCATCATCATTATCATCAGCAGCTTGCCCGTGCTCATCCTATCATTCGAACTAGCATTAGCCGTACCATTATCATTATCATTCGCATTATCTCACTCATCCTCATCCGCATCCTCATCATCATCCACTCTCGTTTCATCTACATCTCCTCCTCACCTTCGCTCTCCTCCTCCTCCTCCTCCTCCTCCTCCTCCTCCTCCTCCACAACTCCCCTACTCATAAAGAGGAGGAGACAAGCAGCAGGATAGGAAGGAGCAGCAGCAGGCGAGTGATGAGGACAGCAGGACCACGAGTAAGCAAGCAGGGGGAGGAACTGAAATGCGACCACCACGTCCTCCGCCGACCCTGACGACGGATCCCAGATTTTGCCGCCCGATCGCGTTCGGAGAGAACGTTTCGGCGGCCGCGCCTGCGTCGGCGTCCGGTCAACGGCACTCGTCGTCGTCGGTCGTCGGTCGTTGTCGTCTCCGGTCGGTCGGTCGATCGGTCTGTCGGTCAGTCGGTCCCGTCCGTCCGTGTCGTCGTCGTTGTCGTCGCCGCCGCCGCCGCCGCCGCCGTCGTCGTCATCGTCGTCATCGTCGTCGTCGTCGGTCGCCGTCGTCGCCGTTGGTCTGGCGCCGTCGTCGCCGTCGGTCTGGTCTGGTGGCGCCTGCGTCTGCGTCGACGTCGGCGTTGCGTTGCCGGTCGTCGGTCGTCGTCTCGGCGGCGGCGGCGTCATGCTTTGTCGTCGTTCGGCGACAAGCCAGGACCTGCTCGCAGCTGATCACCTGACCCTCCCTGAGTACCGCCCCGGTCGACTCGCTTCGAACAAAGCGGCGGCGGGTGCCCCCTCTCTCTCTACTCCCTCCTTCTCTTCCTCCTCCTCCCCCTTCCCCTCCTCGTCCTCCTGCTCCTCACCCTCCTCCTCCTCCTCCTCTCCTCCTCCTCCTCTCCTCTCCTCCTCCTCCTCCTCGTCCTCCTCGTCCTCTCCTCCTCTCCTCTTCCTCCTCCTCCTCCTCTCGTCCTCCTCCTCCTCCTCCTTCCTCCTCCTCCTCCCCCATCGTTCTTTCTCCCCGTCATCTTCCGCTCCTCCCTCCTCCTCCTCCTCCTCCTCCCTCCTCCTCCTCCTCCTGCTCCTCTCCTCCTCCTCCTCCTCCTCCTCCTCCTCCTCCTCTCCTCCTCTCCTCCTCCTCCTCCTCCTCCTCTCCTCTCCTCCTCCTGCCTCCCTCCCTCCCTCCCTCCTCCTCCCCCTCACCCCCCTCCTCCCTCCTCCCTCCTCCCTCCTCCCTCCTCCCTCCTCCCTCCTCCCTCTTCCCTCGTCCGTAGCCATTTTGGCTCAAGGTCCGAGCCGAGGTGTTTGAAACTGGTCCAGGAGCAGCAGCCATGCGCGGGGCGGCTGCAATGCGCGCCGGCCGCTTCGCCTCGCCCTGCCCAGGCGAGCGGCGGGCCAGCCGCGCCCCACGAGCCTCTTCTGGCCGGCGCCATGGCGACCAGCCGTGACCGGGCCTGCGCGCCGCTGTGCGCAGGCTCGGCTACGCGGCCCGGGTTTGCCGCCGGCAGCTCATGAGCGACGTGGCCAGTCTCGCACGAGTGGCTGCTCGTACCGATGGCGATCCTCGGCCTCCGGATGTGGCTCGCGGAGCTCCTGTACCCATGCGGCCAGTGCAGGGCGCTGAGGCGAATGAGGACACTTGGTGCTGGCTGCCAGAGGCGCTGTCGCCCCCAGCTTCCACCGCGCCGGTATGGTGGCCTCCGTGGTCGCCTGCTGCATCGGAGGCTCCGACCAGGCTGCTACGTCGTGGAGTTCCTGGTGCTCTACATGCAAGTAGTCCAGATGGCACTGTGCCTCGGGTGGCGCCCATGCTGGCGGAGATCAGCGCCGTGGCTGCTGCGGTAGCCGGCCGGGCGCCATGTGCTCCGCCGTCTTTCTCGCCGCGTGCCTCGGCCTTGCAGTGGCCGGTCTGCGTGCCGCCGCCGCCTGCACATGACGTTCGCCAGCCTGGACCGCCAGCTGCTTCGGGCACCCGTGATCGTGATCTACGCCATGCCGCACGCTTCCCTGCAGGTGTTGCTGCCCTGGAGGCGCTTGCGGCTGCCTCCTCGTCCGACCTGCTCCCGGACGCGCCCATGCCGAAGGAGACTGCGGCCGCCGCTGCTGGCGCAGCTGTGGCCATGGCCGCGGCCTTGGACCGTGGCGCTCCTGATCATGTGCATGTTACCGCCGATGTTCGTGCCCGAGACCGTGATGCCGCGGCTTGTGCTCTGGCCGATGGGCGGGATGGCCGCACAGCGGAGGTGGGCAAGCCCCTCCCCCCCAGCGTCCCCTGTCGGGGCCCGGGGGAGGCGGCGAGGCAGCCTACGGGCCCCACCCCGCTTCCAGCTGCAAGTGGGGAGGTGGACAGGCCCCTCCCCCCGCTGCCGCATCAGCAACGAGAACGACATACCGTCCTCAGCCCGCATGTTGAACGTGACGGGGGCGGCAGCAGCCTCGGCCCGGAGCAGCGGGGGGCGGAAGTTGAGCATCGTCGGTGGCGCGCGCTCGCCCGAGAAGGCGATGGTGAACACGGCCCGGCCCATCTTGACATGGCGCGGTGTGGTCGGGCTGAGGAGTGCGAGCTCCATCGGGTAGTCCGAAAAATCGCATCTGCGCACTAGCGGTGCCCAGAGCTCACCGAGCAGCAGGCTCCACTAATTGTCCAGAATCGTCTCGGCGTTGTGCGCGCCTGGGAAGAGAGGAAGCGGCGCGATGAGCCTTAGGGGTGCCGGCTTCGGGCCCGTCGCGACCCGGCGAAGCAGCGAAGCCCGACACCGAGATGTCGCGCTGGTGTCCTCGGGGATCCAGGCCACGACGCGCTTGTCGGCAAGCTGCTCCCAGATGTTCTCGTCGCCCTTCTACAGCCGCGCGGCGGCGGCGCGGGTGGTGGGCATGTCCCTGGGGGCGGGCTGGGGGGAAGTCAGAATAGCGGACCACTGCGTCAAGAACAAAATATCCTGCCCCGTTGCGCGCAGCCGCAGCATCTCCAGAGTTCCCTTCCCCAGCTCCTTCCAAAATGGAAGCTTGCCAGCCCGTGCGCGGCGACGCTCCGCAAGACTTCTGGGAGCTCCATGGTGCAGGTCGCCGAGGCGGTGGAGAAGTGCTGCAAAGCAGCCTCGGCCCTCGCCTGATCCGCAGCTGGCCAGTTAGCCCTGCGGCTGAGCTCGCATAGCTGCACCGCCGTGCGTGCGCGAACAGCCACGCTCTGGGCCGAAGGTTCCGGACCGTGGTACCTCGCGAAGCCGAGGGACTGCCACGGGTCGGCGGCGGCCTCGGCATAGCTCAGCTTCTTCAGGATGGCCTGCAGCGCGCCCCAGTTGCAGGGATACTCCACGGCGAGGGCCGCCGGGCTCGCTGCCGTAAGGGCTGGGGCCTGCACCAGCTCGAAGTGGTGGAGGGCCTCCTGGCTCCTGGTCTAGCCAATTCTGAAAGAGCTGGCCTCGCAACAGGAAGGAGGTGGGCGAATGGCTGTCGTCGTCGTCCACCTCGATGGCGTCCAGCTGGGCCAGCTCGTCGTCCACGTCCGCGTCCATCTGCAGGGCCGCCATGCCCGGCGTGGCGCCCGTGTCCATGCTCGCTGGCGGTGCATGTCCCCGGTCAGCCGGTGGAGCAGCCGCCGCAGAGCCATCGCCAAGATGAGGAAGCCCCGGCGGCAGCGGCGGCCGGGCCGCCGCAGCGGCGGCCGGGCCGCCGCAGCGGCAGCAGCAGCGGCGCTGGGTAGCGCCTGCCCGCAGCGCCGGCATTGACCCTGCTTATCGGCCGAAGCCGGGAGCGCTCCGAGGAGCGGGCAGGCCGAATGCGCGCAAGCCATGCAGAGGGGTTGGGATACGCGGTGATTTTGATAATGATGGCGGTACAAGCAAGTTGTTTTCCCGAGTGGTGGAGTCGTCTCTCCAGCAAGTCAAGCTTGAGCTTGAGCCAACTACAGGACTACTACAGTGCTGCCACTTCATAAATGCAATACCACTACTGGCTTAGCACGGTATCAAACTACCACCAGTATATATTAGCGTACCACTACTGCAGTACTACTGCTAAGGTACTGTTCTACGGCTAGCACAATGCCACCGCTGCAGCA